TGTCTGAAGTAACAGGAGCAGTGGGGTAGTTTGGTGGTTAAAGTGTTTGCTCATCATGCTGAAGACCTGGGTTCGTTTCCTCACATGGGTACAATGTGTGAAGCCCATTTGTGGTGTCCCCAGCCATGATGTTGCTGGAATATTGCTAAAACCATACTCATTTACTTGATATGAGCAGCTCCATCATTGGGTCTCTGACCTGTCCGGCGTGATTGACCTATTCAAATTTGGATCCCAGGGCTCCATATGCTCCTGGCACCATTCTCAATGGTCTGTGTGTCATAATCCGACTGTGACTGTAATATGTCACAAAACAATACAAAAATATAACAATATTCATGGAAAAACGTAATTTCAGTGCAATATGTAAGACCACAATATAATTGCAATATGCAAGAACACAACTTAAGTGCAATATGTAAGACCACAATTTAAGTGCAGTATGCAAGAACACAACTTAAGTGCAATATGTAAGACCACAATTTAAGTTAAATATGCAAGAACACTTATAGAAAATACCACATCAAAACTAGAAGTGCCAAATACAACACCGCAACTGTTATTGATGGATGCAACAAAATAACTTAAAATAATAGTAACAATAATATTAATATTATAATGTACAACAATACAGTTGTTAACAATGTACACCAACAAAATTACTATTTTCAAAAAAACAATTGTAACTGTAATGTACAATAATACAACTAAGATCAACTTAAAAAATACAACTATTAATGCAACATTCAACAATAAAACTAAGAGCAATTTTCAACAATACAATTGTTGCTGCAATATACAACAATACAACTAAAGACAGTTTAAACAATACAACTATTGCTGCAGTGCAACATGCAACAATTCAACTATCAGTGCACTGTACAGACAGAGAGACAGATTGTTTATTTTAGTCTCACCTCGTTACAGCCATTTTGATAAAAACGTACATACATAATATATACATGATAAAAACTATACATAACTTAAGACAGTAAAAGCGTAAAAGTAACGAGCCACCCTGTACAGAGTTATGAGAAACTTTAAAATTATAACATCTATGAAAACATTACAGAAATATAACTGTTAGTATAATATGCTACAATGACTGTAAGTACAATATACAACCAAACTGTAAGTACAATATGCAACCAAACTGCAACCAAACTGTAAGTACAATATGCAACCAAACTGTAAGTACAATATACAACCAAACTGTAAGTACAATATACAACCAAACTGGAAGTACAATATACAACCAAAGTGTAAGTACAATATGCAACCAAACTGTAAGTACAATATACAACCAAACTGTAAGTACAATATACAACCAAACTGGAAGTGCAATATACAACCAAACTGGAAGTACAATATACAACCAAACTGTAAGTACAATATACAACCAAACTGTAAGTACAATATACAACCAAACTGGAAGTACAATATACAACCAAACTGTAAGTACAATATACAACCAAACTGTAAGTACAATATGCAACCAAACTGTAAGTACAATATACAACCAAACTGGAAGTACAATATACAACCAAACTGTAAGTACAATATACAACCAAACTGGAAGTACAATATACAACCAAACTGGAAGTACAATATACAACCAAACTGTAGGTACAATATACAACCAAACTGTAAGTACAATATGCAACCAAACTGCAACCAAACTGTAAGTACAATATGCAACCAAACTGTAAGTACAATATACAACCAAACTGGAAGTACAATATACAACCAAACTGTAAGTACAATATACAACCAAACTGTAAGTACAATATGCAACCAAACTTTAAGTACAATATGCAACCAAACTGTAAGTACAATATACAACAACATATGTGCAAGAAAACAACAGTGATGTAGATGCAATAGATAACACAGCAACTATAATTCAACACCAACCAGCTTTATGTGTCAGCATGACTCTTGACATGTGGGTTGTATGTTCTGCCTTGAATATGTCCTAGCAATAAGCTTGAGCAACAAGAACATTGAAAAAAGAATCAATTTAAAAAAATGCAAGAGTAGCACTTGAGGTATAATTGTGAGTATAGTGACTTAAGTGTCAGTAATGAGAAAAATGCGTGCTTCAAGAAAGCTGTCTCTTCTGTGAAGGAAAGTCCTGTTTATTGTTGAAGGTATTGGTTTTGAACAACTGTGTTCTGTGGATGGCCCTTTTGTCCAAAGCTTCACAATGCACAGTGTGCAGAGTTATATCCCTTGGCCTAGTGATGATCCAATGACAATGAGTTTGAATCCCGGCTTTGGTCTGATTATGATCATGGGACTGTCAGCACCAAACCAGGGTTCTTCTTGGTGAATGTCCTACACCTTCACTGTGATAGTTCTGAAAATACTGTTCTAAGTGGCTTAAAAGCCAACTCACTCACTCATTCACTCACTCAGATACTGTTAAGGACAGATGAAGTTCACAGTGTGTGTGAAACATCATTAAATTAGCTAGTCCAAGGGTTAATTTACTAGAGGTACGCTAACAAGCACAGATACTATTATTTTGAAGGTGCACTTAAAATACATAATAATGCATAAAAAATATATTATGCTGGAGAAATGGGCAGGTGATATGCCCACACTCATATGCTAAAAGCTGCATAAAACTAAACTCACTCACTCACTCAAATGTCTCTTCAGAAGGTTTCCGAATCGTGAAGATCTTGGTTAGAATCTGTCTTCAGTAACCCATGCTTGTCGTAAGAGGCGACTAACGGGATTGGGTGGTCAGGCTCACTGACTTGGCTGACACATGTCATTGTATCCCAATTGCTTAGATCTATGCTCATGATGTTGATCACTGGATTGTCTGGTCCAGACTCAATTATTTTCCAGACCGCCAGAATATAGCTGGAATATTGCTGAGGGCAGTGTAAAACTAAACTCACTAACCTACTCACTCAGAGGGTTTCGAGAATTTTAAGCTTTTAGTTGATCAATGGCTTATACAATCAGGTGCTTATTCAAATCATATACAGCATGTTCCTAAGTATAGTACAAGGGTCACTAATTAAGAACTCCTGAGCATCATCAATTCTTTTACAACAATGAATATAGAGAACTGAAAAGTGTAGAAATTGGTTCATTGAAAAACTCAAAATAGCCCACCAAACCGGTAAGATTTTGAACCCCTGCCTGTCAAACCCTCAAGTCAAACCGCCCTTGTCAGTCAAGATAGCTCTGCAACGAGTCAATGTGACAACCTGTAATCGGAGTCTTAGTCCAAAGTTGAATTAAAACCTAGATTTAATCCTTCAAGTTGGTGCATTATTTGGATGAAATTGATGAGGTATATTTTTAATTCTTAATATGATGATTTTTTTGATCACTTTAGTTGATATATGTTTATATCTAACAATTGATATATAACACTTTATTCACAACAATAACCACACTGAAAATAAAAAAATGACAACATTTGTGAATTTATGAAAAAAAAAAAGCAATAGTGACCAAACTTTGTTTAAAAGTTAAAGCAATTAAGCCATTGACATTGTTGTTAGTAAGCAATTAATGTGCTAAAATGTAGTCAAAATGGCTGTATAAAAAAATTGGTTTATATTCCTCAAGTGCTGAGATAGGATACTTGTCCTGTCAGATTCAATCTTAAAAGTACAATAAATACATCCAAATATGTAGATTTGAGAATATATTGATTGGAATTTGTGTACATTATTCATTATGAGAAAGACTTAAAAGGTTTAGCCACATTTGTGGCACAGTGATTTGTCAGATTGGAAATAAGAGGATGACAGTGTACAGAATGTGTTGGGGGTGTGGGGTAACCTAGTGGTTAAAGCGTTCGCTTGTCCCGCTGAAGGCCCGGGTTCGAATCCCCACATAGGCACAAAGTGTGAATCTCATTTCTGGTGTCCCCTATTGTGCTATTGCTGGAATATTGCTAAAAGTGGTGTAATAACCCAACTCACTCATTATAAAGTTTGCTTACTAGTCATTGAATTAAGCCGGTGCTTTATATGAAAATATCATTACAATTGTGCTGGATATTATAGTCAAAGAACACCATTATCACTGGGACAATGAATGTGTGTCCTCTTGAGTTATATTCTCAACTCCCTGGGGAGAGTGCAACCCAAAGTTTATTGTACCATCTTACTAGCTGTTTGATAAGAGTATGAATTTTAAGATTAAACTCGGCATTAACAGGGTCTGGACAGGGTTTGTGTCAGAAAGTTATATAGCCTGTAACAATATTACATGTAAGTCACTTAATCTGTTGGGGTGGTGGGGTAGCCTAGTGGTTAAAGAGTTCGCTCGTCACACCGAAGACCCAGGTTCGATTACCCACATGGGTACAATGTGTGAAGCCCTTTTCTGGTGTCCCTGCTGTGATATTGCAGGAATATTGCTGAAAGTGGTGTAAAACTAAATTCACTCACTTACTCACTCATTGACACACAAGTGACTTATTTGGATCAGGGGTGGTGACTTGTCACCTGTTAGACTTGACCGCTAGACTGAATTATTTATTGATCAGAATGATACCTGGAACATGAAAATATTTTGCATCCTAAGACAGAAAACAAAACACTAAAGTTTGGATTCTTATGAACATTTTCTATTTGCATTATTCATGACTGCATGTGTCAAGAATCACAATGGTTAAAAAAAATATTGAAATATCATGCCCATCAGAAATTGTGCATTTATCAATATTTAAAAAATAGTAATTTCCATTTCTCGTCAATGTTGGTGGATATTTCTAATTTTTTTAGCCAAACAAGACAGAAACAATCGATATGAAGAGAGATCAAGGGGGAAAACAACCTCCAACATCCAGTTTTTAGGGTAATTTTGTCTGACATAACAAATGTAATTTCACATGTTTCATTATGTTATTGAGAGGCTCAAGAATTGATTTTAGAAGCCATGCACAGTTCTCATCTTGGAATGACATACCCTGTTGTTAGAGTATTAGATTTGCCTGAAGCCTTCAGTGTAAGATTACTGAAACGTTTGTCTGGTTTCCTTACATTACCATGCTGAACTATTACCAATGTCAAGCTATACGACATGACCAACTCAGTAGAAGACCCGGGATGCTGAATTCACGATTTATCTGACATATGGGCGGAGCTGCGAGGAATTAAATGTTTTATAAAGAGAAGGGTGTTTGCACCATTTCAGGCATACAGCTCATATTGTCAGAGATGCCAGGCCTCTTACACTGAAGCGCGGTTTCGAGTGGAAAAGCAGATTCCCAAGTGAATGATTCATAAATATTTCAGAATTATTGGCCGAGTGTTATGGGAGGGAGAAGGAACTCCAGTAAACGAGCAAAATTTGTGCTAGACATCTCTCCGATGGTCGGTTGACATAATGATTTGATTTTCAATAATACCAATGGAGAAAAGCTTGTGGAAGACAAAGGAAAAGAGTTTCGGGGTGCCATTATTGGATTTTGCTAGAATTTGGCGGCATTGTTGCAGAATGTGAAGCTGGAAGGCGGCAGTGTAGCTACGTTGAAGCTACAGGTCTCGTTAGCTGGAGCATGGTGTATTGGGGCTTGAGTACATGTATTGGAATCGGGCCTGGAATTACTTTGTATTATCTGACTGGCCTCTGTCAACAACTACGCTGCAGTGACAACGGGTGGTGATTATATCCCAGCATTCTCGGCTGAAACTAAATCCGCGATCGTGACAATGTCGTCTGCGTGTGAAGCTTTACCGCGGATGGAGGAATGAATGTGCGATGCCGTTATTGATTTCCTGCAAGGATGCCGTTACCTACAGTTCCTTGCATGACTTGATGCCGTGTTACCGTGATTCAATTTTATGTGTTCACGTGTGACCAAACACCCAAGTTTTCTATTTATGCAGTAATTCTGCATCAAGCAAGCATTTTCCAGCATCAGTGACACATAGCATATACCATCATGCCTGTTGGAATAGCCCACGTTCCACAACACACAAGTGCTTCATTGCCTACTGGTATGCCAAGAGGACTTCATACAGTCAAGGAAAGATCAAGGAAGGTCTATTTTTTTCAGAAAGCTGGTGTATCCCAACCTTGTCCAAGAAACAAATCCTCTCTCTACAAGAGAACAGGGACATTAAAGTCGTGGAAAACTCATTTTCAGAAAGCGAAATTCTCGGGTGTCCATTCCAAACCTTCTTTGACGATGCTGGGGCATGTGGCAGTGCAGGTTGTGATAGTGATGTTTTTATTTACTGACCCTGTAATGGCTTGTTATAAATTTCCTCCAGGGAAGAAGAATCCTTGCGAAGATCACCCATGTAACTTTGGCGCGATATGTGTACCCTCACTGGATGGCACTTCGCACAGATGCACGTGTCAAAACCGATGCGACTCGTACGGTGACAACGTCGGAAGTACGCCAGTTTGTGGAAACAATGGAGTTGACTACAAGAACATGTGTGAGCTGGAAAGAGCTGCCTGCACGTCCATGAAAGAAATCCGTGTGAAATATTTCGGAAAATGTGGTATGTACTTGTTATGCTCATGGTGTTGGGTCAAACTAACCTGTATGTTAGAAGGGAGTTAATCCTAACCGTCACAGTTTTGTTTCATAATCCAAACTCACCATTTATTTGACACATGATTGTTGACACAGTATGTTCCATGACCATGTATTATCACTTGTTAGTATTTTGCACGGATGACAACCTCATTGTTTATTGTTTATGATGTTCAGACCACACACTTGCACCTTTAAAAGCTTTCTTACCTCTGTTACAATACCCAACACATGCCTTTGACCATCAAAGAAGGAGTTCGTTCTTTTTTCAAACATATTGATCAGTTTCATTTTTCAGACAAGTTGATGAATTGTTTGTTGCAGAAGTTATTTTCTTGAAACACTAAGAATTCAAAAGCATGCGTGAGGTCTGTCACCTTTCCTCCTTGATGTCGAAGAGAATAAGATGGAAATGTGTTTCATGTTTTTGTTTCAATTAACCCTTTCTGTCACATCTGTGATGTTTCTGTTTGACAGATTACACCTAACAGCAGCAGACGCTGTTATAATCTGTTACCAGGCAACCTGTGTACCAATCATGTGAAATGGAGAGATACAAGCAATAAAATATGATTGCATTAAGTATCCACCTCATTTCTATACGTTCAACTCATATTTATTCTCATGTTTCTATGGAAAATGTAGGACTCAGATTATGGTTGGTAAGATCAACACTCTGATCACTGGTGTGTAGTCTTGTGCATAGAACTCAGGTCACAAATTAGAACAAGTTAAGCAACATTTGTCACGGAGGATCCTTCGATGGGTGACCGTGTTTGACAGCTTGACTCCTGAGAGTTTCTAGACTTCTGTCCTGCCCCACACCGAAGCACATGTGACACATGTGGTCTCACCTTAGGCAAGTGTCTTGTTCAAAATTGCCTCTGTTCACCCAGCAGAAAATGGGTACCCGGTGGGATAAGTCATATGACTATTAGCCTTCTAGTGCCTCACAGACAGCTTGGGCTATCCTGAGTTATAATGTCTATCATGTTGTATGCGCTTTGAGCATGCCCATGTAGGGTGGAGTTCTGTGCTATATAAGGGGCCTTGGTATTATTGTAATAATTATTATTATTTTATTTTATCCTCAGATTAATGATCACCAGGTGATTCTGTTCAGTAGAACCTATTAGCTTTCTTGGAACCGTTGCTTGGCACCTACATAAGATTTCTGTACTGCATGTCTGTATAAGATTTTAACAACATTGCAAATTCAGGAAGACTATTACCCAAACCTCTGAAAAAATTAATCATTTGTTAGTTTTTAGTGAGTTGCAAGTCGTCAGTTTTACGTCTTATCTTCCTCTGAGGTGAAAAAGTCGAAAACAACTGAAATGGTATAATTTAAAAAATAATTAAAGTTGTTTTTCAGTTGTTAATGAGAGGTCCACACCAGAAAGCAGATGCGCACAGACTACTCCTCCCTACATTGCTTTTCAGAGATGAAAGAAAATCTAATCATCCTATTTTCATGTTATTGGTTGTGACAATGGAAAATATGTTTTGCAAATAAAAGGATAAAAAAAATTCAAAAGCAAACTAAATATAGTACTAAAATTTAGTAAAAGCATAACAGATTAAGTGTAGTTAATGTGAAGATATGATTGGATGGTTCTTCACTTCTCTTGCGTAGTATATCAAACATGTAATGTTCTACTTTAGTTTGTCAATAGTATACTACTCACACTTTGCTAAGGATCACAAAAATTCACAACTTTACTTAAACGTAGATTCATAATTTGAAATTGTATCCATTTAAAACTGGATAAATAATGATATGGTAACCCCTCTTTATGCAAACAGTCACTTTAATCTAACCTTATGCACTTGATACATGAGTAGCCATAAAAATGGTTTTCATGGTACCAATTAACCATTTTGCAAATCATGGAACGAGTCATTGACAAGGACACAACACCTGTCAATAGCAGGTATGGGATCCACAAGATGCAGTGACATACTGAAACCTTGGATCCATGCTTACAATAAGATTAGATATTTAAACCAAATTTGACCCCACATCATAATTTTCTGTTGAATCCATGATTTGATCCTTAGCAAAATGTGAACAGGACCATTTTCAGAACAATTTACAACAAACATAAAAAACAGGAGGCATAAGACTCTGTGCGTTATTAAGAAATGTAAATGTTTTTCCAATCACACTTTTGATAGTTATATTGATCAAAATTTTTTTTTTTTATCCGATATGCATATAGAAATCATAAATATCAATAGAAAACATCAATGCAAGGGAATAACCAGTTTGTTATCAGCTGAAACCAATTCCAGTGGGCATATACAGCAAAATAAGTGAAAATCATATGAATGGCTCACTGAAATCATATGAATGGCTCACTGAAATCATGAGTGGATAATTGAAATCAAATGAGTGGATCACTGAAAATCATATGAATGGATAATTGAAATCATATGAATGTATCACTGAAAATCATACAATGGATAATTGAAATGATATGAATGGATAATTGAAATCAAATGAGTGGATCACTGAAATCATATCAGTGGATCACTGAAATCATATGAATGGATAATTGAAATCATATGAATGGATCACTGAAAATCAGTCATGTCATTGGTGGTTAATGAAATGAGAAGCATACAGCTCTACCAGTATCATCTGCTACTAAATTTGCTTTCAAAGTAAATGTTTGTTTTTGCCATACAAAAAGTTCAATTACATAAACTTATTAAAAAAAAAGATTTTAAAACTGAAAGTCTTTCTATCAGCAACTTAAAAGTAAAGTACTATATTTCCTGTAATGGTGATTGGTTTAAGTTCTTGGCAATGGTCTAGTTCTGCCCAACCCTCCGAAGTTACATTTATATCGTATTGATTCACTGACTAGCAACTCCACCTGTGCAGACCTGCGTGATTGGTTCTTTTACCTTTCTGAAATTGCTTTGACCCTCTTGTATATCACTGGGTGCGACGATGTGCAATTACTGCGAACTTCACTCCTCAAGATGAACGCATTCATGTTCTCAGTTGTCTCAAAGGAGTGGTTTCCGTTGGGGGGGATTGGAATAGCGTAAATTATTTATTGGATTTATATGGTTCTTACTTGTTGTGCACTGAGACTAGAACTGTTCATTGTTCTAGATTGTGTAAATTATGTAGTAGATTTCTATAGTTCTTAATTGTCCTGCATTGAGTAAGAGTTATTGGTAATCTGCAGACAATTAATTTGGATTTATTGGTTTATTCGTGATTTTTATGGAGTTATGTTAGCAAGTTATTGACAGTCATCTTTCTCTTCATTCAGTGCTGAAAGTTTTATTTGATGTTGTGTTTGTTGGTGAAAAGTACAGTTTTTACATTTGAAACATTTGTCCAAAAGGGATTGACATTAAATCATGTCAAGAATGATCATATATACTCTTTGAAAAAAGGACCCGTAAAGACCTTTGTTAGAATTGGTCTTCAGCAACCCATGCTAGTCATAAGAGGTGACTAACGGGATCGGACTGTCAGACTCACTGACTCGCTGATGTGACACCATATACCAGTTGCGTATATTGATGCTCATGCTGTTGATCACTGGATTGTCGGGTCAAGACTCTTTTATTTACAGACCACCATATAGGTGGAATATTGCTGAGTGCTGCATTAAACAACAAACAAACCAACCAACCAGCCACGTATGGGTGTTGAAATATAGATGTTATTAACAAGTATTGGAACAGTTGATGACAAACATCCTTCGCAATAACATTTTTTGTCTGCAAAACTTCACATCAAAACACATCTGATAATTTGAAAATGCACACATTTTTAGGATCATTCCTGATTTTGATAGTTTCAAGGAAGGTCGATTTGATTCTGTAGACTGTTATTTCTGTCAATCTTATTGATTTTGCTTATCATACACTCATGATTTACTTGTTTGCATTCATGTTTTCTGTATGAACTAGCGATGTGGCGACTGGGTGGCCTGGCATGTCTGTCGGCTATTTGCATGCTGGACACCGCAGACTTCAGTACATAGTGGCAATAATATTCAATTTTTCAGTCTGTGATTAGCAGACTATGGAACAGCTACGGACAAACCCTAAATGGTCAGGGCATCCCTCGCCATCTACGCATATAGAATCAATTGTTCCAAATCCATTTTCTATGAAATTGAGCTCAAATGGCAAATGAAACTCCTTCAAACTTGTATTTTCCTGGAGTACAAGTTACAAGTCGGATGATTAAAAATTGTCAATATGCAACTCATCTCAATGCTTGAAAACCATAGCTGTTTCACCCTTTAAGAATTGTCATTGCCAACAGACGTGGCTGGTGCAGATGTCAAACCTGTGGTAATCATCAATCGTCACCATGTTGTGACCTCAGATGGGTCTATATTTTAGTTTCCCTCCCTTGCTTGTTCTTCAAAAATGAACCTCAAGCCAGGCCACGTGACAGATTTGGTTGTGGATGAGATTTCTGAGATGGTATGTGATAAGTATTAAATACACTGGCTTATAAGCTAAGGCCACTGATGATAGGTATCATTGAAGTGGTGCATACTAGAGTGTGACAGATGAAGACATCCTTGAAATACTGTTTATCAGACCATGATATAAGTGGGATATTGGTGATATACTGTTTATCAGACCATGATGTAAGTGGGATATCAGTGATATTCTGTTTATCAGACCATGATATAAGTGGGATATCAGTGATATACTGTTTATCAGACCATGATATAAGTGGGATATCAGTGATATACTGTTTATCAGACCATGATATAAGTGGGATATCAGTGATATACTGTTTATCAGACCATGATATAAGTGGGATATCTGTGATATACTGTTTATCAGACCATGATATAAGTGGGATATCAGTGATATACTGTTTATCAGACCATGATATAAGTGGGATATCAGTGATATACTGTTTATCAGACCATGATATAAGTGGGATATCTGTGATATACTGTTTATCAGACC